TGAACCGAATCATTTAAACGGTTGATTCATTCAGGAGCGAAACACCGTCATGCTGCTCAGAGACGCAAAACAGTGCTGTGGCTGTATTTGGAATAAATTTTGTTGGCAAAATAGAGCAAAAACAGGCAATATGGTATCTAAAACGTAAGTCTCTTAATTAACTTCTAGTTTATTGAGCTGTTGTAAAAAAATCAATATCACAATTGTAATCATGGTAATTTTTGGAGAAAAAGAACAAACGTGATGTCCGCACACTGATATAACTGCTCCATAAAAGTATTTATTGCAACGTTTCGACCATCCGGTGAATTTTTGTTGAAAAACAGCACTCTTCGTGTGAAATTGGTTAATTATATGAAGTGGTATAAATATATACAGTTTCTGCCCCTATGTCTTGAATTTGTGATCATTCTAAATGCATTTTAATAGACTGAATCATGCAGTGAAAGAACGCACTCTAAATGCGCACACGCACTAGTCTAGACTTCACGTAATGTACGCGTGCACTCTGTAGGGAATGGTTTTTGCAAAATACTAGATAATGTCAAATCGCACATCGTTAAAACAACAATTACGGTATTATCGCAGACGATATATATCGCACACCCCTACCGCTGAGGCATCTCAGATGAGAAGGTCTGTTATCTTGGCTTTTTATCCTTGCAGCACCAAAGCAGAATTAATATGCGGTAATTATTTTACAACTTCCGTTATTGGAAAAATACAGAGGTCCGGACCTCGGGGACCTCGATGATGGGTACGGCCCTGGATCCAAGTGCAGGCTTTTATTAGAATCGTGTTCAAAACAGGCAGGGTCAAACAAAAGCAAACGGGTATAATCCAGGGCGAGACAAAAGAGTAATCCACAAAACAGGCGAAGGTCAGGGCAGGCAGCAAACAATAAGAAATCAGAAGCAGTCCAGGGTCAAAAACAAGGCAAGGCAGCAAGGATCAAGGAAAACACAAGAAACACGGGAACTAGGGAACGCTACAGGCTAGACAATACTGAGCAATGAATGAGAGAAAAAACAGACTTTAAATAGGGTGAGACTGATGGAGGTAACAAGACACAGGTGAATGTAATAAGTGATGAGTCCGGCAAAGGATTATGGGAAATGTAGTTAGTGAGAGTGGCAAGAGTCAGGGATGGAATGCACTCTGGTGGAGTTCATGGGCACTCCAGCTGGAGATCGTGACAGAGCCCCCCCCTTAAGGAGTGGCTTCCAGACGCTCCCAAACGAGAACAGAAATGAGTCCAGGAGGGAGGTGGAACGGAGGCGGAACATGTTGCAGGGATGGAGGGCCAGGTCCATGGAGGGGCGGAGCAGGGAGCCAGGGCAGAGCCGAGGACAACCAGGGCGGAGCAGAAGACCACCAGGGCAGAGCAGATGGGATCGAAGACCCCCATGGCAGAGCAGACGACCAGCAAAGCAGACGGGACCGAAGATCCCCACGGCGGCGCAGACAACCACCACAGTAGAGCAGACGGGACCGAAGATCCCCACGGCAGAGCAGATGACCACCAGGGTGGAGCTGATGGTGCAGGAGACAACCAAGGTGGATCAGGCAGAACTGGAACAGAGAGCATAGAGAGTTTAACAACAAGCTCTGCGGCCATAACAGGACAAGTAGAGAGTTCATCAATGTCCTCCTTGGCCATGGCTGGACAGGCAGATAGTTCACAGATGGTCTCTTTGGCCGCGGCTGGACTGGCAGAGAGTTCAAAAGCGGACGCTGCTTCTGGAGGTTCTGCAGCAGAAGCCACTGCCTCTGGAGGAGCTGGAGTGGACGCTGCCGCTTCAGGAGGAGCTGGACTCACTAGAGTCATTGGAAGAGAAAATATCTGATGTTTAAGTGAATAAAATAGCCTTGACAGCCTTACTTACTGGAGTTCCACAACTACCACAACTAT